AGAAAAGCCGTAATTATACTTATTGTTACAGTCCATTTAATAAAATGCAACATTTTTTGTTTTAATGAAAAAATCAGTTATTTTCATGAGAACGATCTGCATGTTATTCCATCCCAATTTTTTTAATCTCCAATCGCAATAACGTAAAGTATTATTACCCGCGAACCAATGAGTCAAATTTAAGAAACAACACACTGTTAGAAAGCTGAATGGCTACGCTTTAAAATGAATGTAAACTTTAACGTTTTCGTCTATTATTTGTTTAGCAATTTACATTTCAGTCGAGGATTGCGCTTTTTTTGATACACCCTGTATAGCCAACGTTATAGACAATCAGTTACTATATTTAAACACCAGGGGCCGGTTGCATGTATTAAAAAGTGATTATGTAGTTAGCTATAATTAGTGGAAACGTCATCCAATAAGAAGCGCGTATTTGAGAGTTAATCACTTTTTAACTACAAAATAGTGATTTAAAAAGTGATTAAGAGTTTTATACAACCGGCCCCAGATCATTTACCTTAATGCGTGGGCAATATAATCACTAAAGTTGTTACCAAAGCTTTCGAAGTCGTAACGGCTGCGTTATTTTCTATTCGTAGAATGTGGTCACGCGAATTGCTGAAATGGTTTAGAACAGTGTTTGTATATATGTGGAACCCCGTTTTTAGATGTAGATTGTCCTTAATTAAAGAAAACATGACAAACTCTTCACAAATAAGAGCTTTAGTCTTTATCAGAAAAGTATTAGTGATGCAAGAAAATTTTTTATTTGCCATTTTGTAAAACTGGTAATTAGATAAGTAGTGCATGCTTATATAAAACCAAAATGCAACTAAACAGTGAAATTGTAAATGTTGAAGGGTTTCTGTGGATGGAAATTTCGGGTATAACTTATATGGTTTTTAGACTTAATTATTAATCAAGAGAAGCAGAGAAAAGTGCAACTTTTGGCCCAATTGCAGAAATATTATTATATATATATATATATATAATTGCATTTTTCGCAGCTGATCTTGGTTAGATCTAAAATGATGTAATTATGGATACATATACTCGAAATTCCACCTACAAACAACGCTTCAACAGACAGTTTAACTGAACATCCATTCATCATATACTCATTCCACTTCACCCACCTTTTGTTGTATTTTAAGGATCTATCGGCGTCTGCAGCTGCACTCGTTTTGAATCTATATCAAGTATGCGTGTTGAACATATATAAAAAGGATGAGTCACTTGGTTTGACTGTCAGAAGATTGCTATTATATTGAATCCAGTTAACTGAAGAAAAAGGCAAGATGTTCAAGGTAGCTATATAAATAGAAAATTTGAGGTAGCTATACGGTATATATATATATATATATATATATATATATATATATATATATATATATATATATATATATATATATATATATATATATATATATATATATATATATATATATATAAAGATACCAAATTTGACCAAATTTTTTTATTTTGTTCAATTCAATGCTGTTATGTTCAAAGATGTTATGTTGTGTCACGGTACAACGAAGATGCTGTTTTGGCTGTCTAAAACGATTTTCTTTATCCAAATTAGTGAATGTTGTCCACGACGTTATATGTAATGTCTGTTTAAATTGCTTAATCTTGACATAACTAAGAGATTGGCATATTAAATTGGATTTGAATACATTTAAACTCGGTCCAAAAATGTTTTTAAACTTAACAGTTTTTCGGGCTTGCGTGTTGCGCGCGGTCAATTAAACTAAAAGTATACACAATTTTCTGGAAGTATAAAGACTAACAAGTATCTTAAGCTTGTATTTTATGATAAAAATGTACAAACAGTTTTAAAAGAGCACTACTGTAAATGCACGTGTTCGTGTATTCGTTCATACGACATATGACACACATTTCAATCTTCGAGGATTGAGGGCATGCAGTATCACAAGAACTTCTTTGTACTATTTTAAAATATTAATATAAAAAGAGATATCAAATAAAGATTCTTCAATTTCAAATCACATCTATTTGGTGTGTAAACTACTAAATATGTAACCAATTATAAATTTGTTCCATAAAGTAAAGTGACTCAGTGCATAGTTTGTGACTCAGTGCATACTGTATATATTCATGTATAGCAGGATGGGTCGTGAAATTTTTCCAATGACTTACGTTGGGCTTTGAAATTTTTTCTTGGTTCTCAGGATGGGCCACCAGGTTTTTTTTGGAAAACCTATTTTTCTGTCCGGTCCATCCTAGCAGTTACTTTATGACCGGTCACTAAGAATGGGCGGTGGAACCCCAGTGAAACAGCTGAAACATGTGTGATGCCGCTATAAGCATGCAGCATTTACACTAAATATAGGTTAAGAAGATGCACATAAGAAAATGTTTCACCTTCAGTCCCTCATTTGTGTTTCTCATCTCAAGTGTTTTACCTCCAGGATTATGGACTCCTCGTAAGTTCCATGTAAGGTAGAAACGGAAATTTCGTGAAAATTAAGCGAGGAGGAATTTATATTATTAACTCAAAATTGTTTATAAATTATAACGTGTTTTTTTAGATATTGCTGCTCGTTGTTGCATGCTTCATCTTTGCAGGTGCACGAAAATTTGACAATTTCTTTTGGGATGATTACAGATATTTTATGAGCAAATCCAGTATAATATAATGAAAGTTTGTTTGTTTGTGTACTGCGGTTTTTAAGGCCGAGTTCATGCGTCAAACTTTCCATGCGCCAAACAAAATGTGATTATGAGTCAAAATAATGAATTCAGGGGTCGATTGCTCGAAAGCCGGGTAGCTTAATCCTAGGTCAATTAACTACAAACTTCCATGCAAACCTCCCAACAGCTGAAATAAAAATTTTGAAATAAAAATTTCCAGTAGTCTTGTCGGCATGTATTAATATAGGAGTTATATTTTCCGATGTTTTGCAAATTAACATGAGTTGAAAAATACACAGACCAAACCAACGAGTTAAATTTTAACCTTACTCTAATCGAGGTTGAACAACCAGGCTCAGGTCTTTTACAATTAGGTTTTTAATCATTGTAGTGCAATGGAAATTCCGTCAAGTTTCATATTTAAACATTACGACTAATCGTTGATCATCATTGCAGGATTTCCAACGTTTGAAACTACTCATTTTCAAGTTCACTCTTAAGGTGGCTCAATATAGTTTTTAAAAAAATGGAAAATTCGCGATTTAGATGCGTATTTTCGGACAATTATTACTTGTTCATAAACAAAAAGTACCTTATATAAAACAACATCTAAAGCCGGTTTGCATTTTTGCACAAAAGTTACGCAACAATGACGTTTCAAAGTGGCGGATATTTTGGCTTTAAAGTAATTTAGCTCGTAAACGACATCGGTGACCTCCAAATTTTATTTTAAAAAATGATTTTATCTTAGTATAATCAATTATTTTGACAAGTTAAAAAGAATTCTGTGGAGCCAATTTTTTTAAATTACGTAAAGGTGATTATTCATAATAATTTTTTTTTGCTCCACAGAATTTTTTAAAATTGTCATAATAATTGATTATGTTAAGAGAAATCATTTTTTAAATTAAAATTTGGAGGTCACCGATGTCGTTTACGAGTTAAATTACTTTAAAGCTAAAATATCCGCTATCTTGAAAAGTCGTTGTTGCCATAGCAACGGCAATTGCGTAATTTTGTACAAAAATTCAAACTCTTTAGATGTTGTTTCATATAAGTAAGGTACTTTTTGTTTATCAACAAGTTATATAATTATATAGCTACCTGAAAAATACAAGGAGAACTTCAACGTTTCCAGTGACGAGTGACGGCCCTTCGTGGGGAAGTTACTTGAAACGTCGAAATTCTCACGTTGTAGTTTTTAGATAGTGTACACATATCAATCTCGAAGCTTTCTTGCATTACCAACACTGACACCAACACTGTTTTTAAGTATTTTTTAAGTAACCATGTTGGCGATGCATTACTACTTACTAGACTAGGATTATTGATTGCAAATCTTTAGTGTGTTTTCCCCAACTTTATCACAAAAGTATTTGATAAAATGGTTTGAAATGTTGCCTGTGTAAGGTGTATGTAACTCCGCCCAACAGAAAAGCAGGTTAAGACTACTCATCTTTCAATATTTTTTTTGTATCTATGTATAAAATATGTTTAACTTAAACATGGCACCTACGTTTAACAGAGACCTTAAACGGACAACGCGTGGAGACGTAGTAATGTGTAAAATATCTGAAGATGACAACTTTCAAATCGAAACTAAATATAACAAGGAAAGCACTAACGAAACCGTGGTAATAACACATTACATGAAAAATGCGAAGTGTGAGCTCACAAACAAAAATACTAAATTAAATGGCAGTCGTCCGTTTAAATGCAGACCAATACATCTTAAGATAAAGGAAGGAATTCCAGGGTGGGACTCATGGAAGGATAAGATTATTACTGTCGGTTGTGAAGCTTTCATCCCCCACTAGAAGCATGCTGAAGGATAGAAAAAAGGATGTAGGACCAGATCTCGTGAATGGAACTTATATAAATTATTAATGACATTTATGGTTATACTGATTATAAATTATGTCCTATTTAATTTATTTATTAGTGATGACAAACATTCAGAACTCATTTTGCATAGATATTCTATTTTATAGTTGTAAGTATTGAGATAGTAAATAAAACTTGTGCAATTTCATATGAGTCTCATTAGTTTTATCTTCCTTTTATAGTATTTCTTCTCTGGATTTATCACTTGTCATTACCTATTCCAGGGCCTCTTTCCCCCCAGCTTTTGACCTTCCCCCCCAGTGAACCATGTTGTAACCCCCCCTCCCCCAACTAAGGTCCCTTCTGTGTATAATATAAACAAAAAAGGGGAAGAATAACTTAGTTAAGAAGAGCATTTTAGTATTCCCATGACAAAATCTTTGTCTAGTGGTTTAATCTCGTTCCCCGAACATGCCCATTCGCAGGTTGAGGGTGGGCATATGGACAAATCGACTTGATTCACGTTGGATTTCCAACGTGAGTTCTACGCAATTGTTGCAAAATATAAACAAAGAATTTAGGATTTCTGATCGAAATATATATATATATATATATATATATATATATATATATATATATATATATATATATATATATATATATATATATATATATACCTTAAACACTCTTCTAGATCGATGTTTTCCATTGCAAACAAGATTATATATAATATATAAAGACAAAACTAGAAAAGAGCTACACAAAATTTTCGAGCAATTTGACCTTAAAATCACCGCCGAAGTAAATATGAACGTTGTAAATTTTTTAGATGTTACTTTCGACCTGATCAACGCAAAACACAAACCATACAGGAAACCCAATGACGATCCATTGTACATCCACAGACACTCGAACCATCCACCAAGCATTACAAGACAATTACCTACAGCTATCAACAAACGCATTGCACTTCTCTCATCGGACGAACAAACATTTAAGGAATCCACACCTATTTACCAGAACGCTCTTACACATAGCAACTTTGATCATGAATTTACGTACACTCAGGATTCACCGCAACGGACACGTAGGAATAGGCAACGCAACATAATTTGGTTCAACCCACCATTTAGTAAGAGTGTTAACACGAACATAGGACGGGAATTCTTAAGTTTAATTGACAAACACTTCCCACTACAGCACAAACTACACAAGATTTTTAACAGAAACACTTTAAAAGTAAGCTACAGTTGCATGAACAACGTTAGGTCTATAATCACCAAACACAACGCACATATAATTAGGAACAGTCAATCACAGAATACGGAAACTGACAACTGTAACTGCGACAACAAAAACACTTGCCCACTTCCGAAACAATGCATGACCAACAACATTATTTACAAAGCAACAGTCACAACGAACAACACGAACGACACTAAACACTACATTGGTATGACAGCGACTACATTTAAGGAACGTTACGCTAACCACACTTCATCTTTTCGTCATAAAAAAGAGATCGGAAGAGCAAAACGGAACTTTCGAAACATATTTGGAAATTAAAAGAAAACAATCAGGATTATACCATTAAATGGTCAATTTTAAAACACGCTATTTCGTACACAGGGGGATCAAAACGCTGCAATTTATGCTTGGAAGAAAAATTTTGCATTTTGAAAGACATAAACAAAGGCAATTTACTCAATAAAAGAAGCGAAATTTTCGGCAAATGTCGTCACAAAAACCGACTTCGAGTAAACAAGGTCGTTAACAAAACCTAATGACCCAAGCATGCATTGTTTCACCTAAGCATTGTTTCGCCTACACGCATTCCGCACATTCTTTCGATAGCATAAAAGCAACCTACAATTTCGAAATTATTCACCACCTGATGATTCCTATACGGATGAAACAGACTGTTGTGGTTTTTTGAGGTAAAACGAAAAAACTATATTACGCTCTATCTATATGGTATTGAGCACTGTTTGTGTTTCGTAAACCAAAATCTTAAGCTATATATATATATATATATATATATATATATATATATATATATATATATATATATATATATATATATATATACAGGGTGTATAAAAAAAAGCGCAACCTCGGAATTTCCCAAGAAATCGACATTGTTTTAAAGACAAAAAATTTTAGGCGCCTGGGAATTTAAAATAGCATATTAAACTGTCAAAATTACTGCACACGCGAGTGCATAAAGAAAAATTTATGCATTTATTTAATGCACAACAACAGTAATATGATCTATTAGCAATTCGATTTCAATTCCCAAGGGCCTAAAATCTTTTATGCTTAAGAATTGCAAAGTGATTTCTTAGCAAATTCCGAGGTTGCGTTTTTTTTTGATACACCCTGTATATATATATATATATATATATTAGCGAAATAAGCATGAAACATTTAAAAACGTTCGAAAGCATATTTGACGTCCTTTGAGAGTTCCTATTATAAAGTTGGTCGTCCGTCGCCTTTCGAATATGCCTCGATTAACAAAAGATCAAAGAGTTTGGGTTTTATGGTTTCCCGTGCAAGACATTTTACGTGAAAAAGGACATACTTTCTATGATGAATGAATAAATGTTTATCCAACAATTATGTTTTTCATTCGTTCTTTTTGGCCACAATAAAACTATATATATATAATCAACTTAACCAAATAATATTTGATAGGCAATTTTACGCAAATTTTTAACATTGTCAGATATGCTTATTCGATTTAAAACATCGATAGCTCAGCAAATACTGCACAGATATTCAAATGTTATATATTAAAATCTAAGTTGGCCCTTTTTGAATACAATATCACTTATTTAAATGCAATAGCTTTTATAGTTTTTATGTTACATTAAATCAAACAGCAGAAGTTTTTTTTGGGACACCCGGTATATATAGGGTGTAACAAAAAAAAAGTAATCGAGTTTCAGCGTGCTATTGTATCTGAATTACTATGCGTATGAATGACATATTTTCACATTTGGAAAGATCATGCTTTTAGCTGTTGAATGATATCTTCTTCGTGTCAAATGGATAAAAAATGAGCAAATACAAATCCGATAAAAAATGTTAGTCAGAAACGCATATTTTCACCGTTGAGAGTTGGTCTATATATAAAACCATTGAAAATGAACCCCTTTGGTACTTAAGCTGATGAATTTCACTTCAATAAACGACACACATATTCATAATTATTATGAAGTACGAATAAATCTTAGCTAAGCTACGACACGTTCGTGTAGTCTAGAACCTGTATGTATGAGTTTGTATGCGTTTCATTTAGCACAGGTAATCTCAACTGTTTTGGGGTAAAATGACCATGGCAGTCAACATGGCATACGTGCCAAAAGCTGAATCCGGGACGAAAGCCCTGAATATGACCCCGCCCTGAAACGGCAGTGTCGACATAGCTCTAACTTCAGAAAACAAAAAGCGATAGTCTTTCTAAAGTGCTTATAGTGTTTAAAAGGGTTGCTTTTAGGGGTGGTCATTGGAAGAAAAAATTTGTCTAAGTATTATTTTACAAGAAAATGACCATGCACCACCCCAAGTAAATTGCTAATTATGCATAAAATAACTAATATGCCTGGCAGAAATTAAATATTCTTATTTCTTAAAAAAAAATTATCATGGGGTGAAAAACTGTGCTTAATTTAATATAAATATTGTTGCTTTCATAAGGATTGTAATGTTTTGTTTAAATATAATACATTTTATTTCACTTACCCCCCACGAAAACACGATTTCAGCCATATTTTGCCGTCTTGTTTGCTTTTTATCGCCGAATCTCGAAAATCTCATCCAGTCATTGTACTTTTACATAATCATAAATGGCTGAAGAAGATTTCAAAGAAGGTTTCATCCACTTTGAAACAGTGCAGTGTATTTTATCTTCGATATTGTGTCCTTCGATATTTCGTCAACTGTGCTGCCATTTTAATGGCTCGTCGCTTCTCTGCTCGATAAACGAGATCAATGAATCGAGACCATTTCCTCCTTTTATCCGCTAGTCTAGTACTAATCTTCGGAAAGAACAAGTTTCGAAAATAATAGATACGTTATCGGGACCTGCTCTAGTGGCCCAGTTGGTTAGCGCGTTGTACTTATAAGCAGTACTTGAGTACATGCGAAGGTCGAGGTTTCGATCCCCTCCGAAAGCAAGTTTTTAGGCATCCATACCTATCTTTCTCTAATCAACAAGCCACGGCAGCAATTCGTCTTATTAAATGTCCTTATTAATTACGAAAACTTGTTATTTTGAAAAAATTCGTACACCAACTATACACTAGCAAACAAAGACACCGCAGCAGTTCGTCCTAATCGCCATATCATTTACGAAACCTGTTGTTTTGAAAACAATTTTAACCAAAACGCTATAGGGTGACATATGCACTCTTGAGCGCTCAATAATTGCTGGGCCCATAACCCAGAGGTCAAGCAGATCGTGATCATTTTCTGCTATTATTATCAATCATTATTAAAGTCGAGGGTTCGATCCCCTCCGGCAGCACGTTTTTAGCAGTCCTTCCATAACCAACAGGACCACCGCAGCAATTCGCCCTAATCTACATATTATTTACGAAATCTGTTGTTTTGAGGAAAAAGTTCGACAAAAGTCCGTGGGTGACATCTGCATGCATCCACGCTCAATAATAACACTAGCTATTGATTGCTGGGTTGTGTGGCCAGTAGGCTCTATATTGTAACAATTTCTTGTGTGTTTACAATCTATTTCATTGAATTGGTGCAGTGGCTTCTTTACAAGTTTAAGGGAAATATGTTGCTTCCTGATTTTCTAGATTTGGAAAATGTATATACAACTGGCCGATTCCAAGCACCAACAAGCAGGGTGGCGCAGTGGAAGCGTGCTGGGCCCATAACCCAGAGGTCAATGGATCGAAACCATTTCCTGCTATTGTTATTATGGAGCGTTTATGCATGCCGGTGCGACCTACCATTTTCCTCTGAATAC